GGGGCGGCGCGCGCGGAAACCCGGGCTGGATTACGGCAAGGAGCGGAGCCCGGGCGCTGCAGGGACCCCCTGACGCTGCGCGCGCAGCTTCCACCTCGGGGTGGGCGGGTGCAGAGAGGCAGAGAGTCAAAGAGCCCCCTCCTCCCACCCCGAAGTGCGCGCGATGGTGTTTGACTCACCACGTTTTCACGGGTGTCCTACTGGGGCTGCAGATCAGTTGCCCAAGGATGCTTGTGATGGTCTCAGCTCATCGCCGATCGCTTCTGCACGGCTGTTCTTTTTGTGTTTTGCTTTGTTTTTGTTTATAATGTTGCAAATTACATTTTATTCACTTATGTATTTACTTGTGGTTCTCCACCATACCTGGTGTGTGTGTGTGTGTGTGTGTGTGTGTGTGTGTGTGTGTGTGTGTGTGTGTGTAGATTAGAAGGGACAATTTTCAGGTCTATTCTCTCCTACCCTGTGGGTTCTGAGAATGGAATTCAGGTCGAGCTTGGTGACAAGTATCTTTACCTACTAAGCCATCCTTGTTTTGTTGTTTGAGACTCTATCTCATACCCAAGCTGCCTGGTTTGGCTACCTAGAGCAGGCTGGCCGCAAATTCATGATTTTCCTGCTCCAGCCTCCTGAGTGTGGCTATTACAGGTGTATGTCACCAAGCCTAGCCTTTTTAATTAATTTTTCATACAGGATCTCTGGCTATATAGCTCAGACCGGCTTCCAACTGGTGACCCTCCTGGCTTAGGCTCCTAGATGCTTGCTGGAGTCACAGGTGTACACTACCACACCTGATTTCCCTTGTTCCTTTTAAGGTGAACAGCTCTGCAGGTTCCTAGAGACTATGGACACCCTAGAGATGGACGGTAGTTGAAAACATTTAAATGGTGAATTTGGCAGCATGTGCATCCCTTGAGCACTTCAAGGTTCTGCATTGGGATGCTAATTAGCCAAGTCTTCCTCCAGGAACACACACATACATATGCGCACTCATGCGCGATTTCTCACACTTAATAATAACTGTGAAGGAGCTGGCTCAGTTGGTAAAGTGCCTGATTCTTTCATCTCCAGGACTGGAGTTCATTCCCCAGCACGGACTTCAAAACCCATTGAGAGCTTCTATAATCCCAGTGCTTTAGGGTGGAGGCAGACAGATCGCTGGAGTTCATTGGCCAGCCTGCCTAGCCAATCAGTGAGCTCCACATTCATAGTGACTCGCTGTCTCAAAACAAAAACAAAAACAAAACCTCGCAAACAACAATAACAAAAAGGTAGAGCTGAGGGCAGGCGGTGGTGGTGCATGCCTTTAATCCCAGCACTCGGGAGGCAGAGCCAGGCGGATCTCTGTGAGTTCGAGACCAGCCGGGGCTCCCAAGTGAGTTCCAGGAAAGGCGCAAAGTTACGCAAAGAAACCATGTCTCTAAAAACCAAAAAACAAACAAACAAAAAAAAAAAACCAAAAAAAAAAAAAAAAAAAAAAAAAAAGTAGAGCTGAGCCTTGGTGGTGCGTGCCTTTAATCCCAGCTCTTGGGAAGCAGAGGCAGGTGGCTCTCAGTGAGTTCAAGGCCAGCTTGGTATACAGAGTGAGTTCCAGGACAGCCAGGACTGTTACACAGAGAAACCCTATAAAAAGAATTTTTAAAAATAATTATCATGAGAATAGAGAAGTAGGTCCTGCCTTCAGTGAACTTCAGCACTAATGAAGATACAGATATGAATTAAAGACCCATACTAATCAATGTAATGCTCACAACCATGCAGGGTATGTGTTGACAGGGTGCATGTGTAGGGTGCATGGCAGAGTGTCTGGGGGGACAGGTAGAAGGGAGATTTGGCTTGCTTATGATGGGAAGCTACCCTGCCTACCTAGCTCCCACTCTGGACCCAAACAGGAGAACCAATCACCCTGTTATAAACTGGTGGTTCTCAGCCTTCCTAACGCTGCGGACCCTTTAACATAGTTCCTCATGTTGTGGTGACCCCCAACTAAAAACACTGTTTTTGTTGCTACTTCACAGCTGTAATCTTGCTGCTGTTATGAATTATAATGTAGAGATCTGATATGCAGGGTCAAGAGGGTTGCAACCCACAGGTTGAGAACTGCTCTTAGAAAGGCTACAACTAGGGATCAGCATATTTGAGAGGCCAGGGACAGAAGTTGTTTTTTGTTTTTTGTTTTTTTTTTAATCTCCGTCTGTTGGGTTTGTTTGTTTCACACCTGGTCCCTTGTAGCCCAGGCTGGCCTCAAACTTGCTCTGTAGCTTAAGTTGAAACCCTGGTCCTCCTGCCTCTGCCTTCAAAAGATAGAATTCCAAGTGTGCACTATCAAGCTCTGCTCAGGTTTTCATTTTCTTTTTCCTTTTTTTAGTACTAGAGTTGAGTCCAGGGCCTTGTGCATGCAAGTGCTTTGCCTCTGAGCTATGTCCCACCCCTTTAACATTATATTATATTATATTATATTATATTATATTATATTATATCATATCATATCATATCATATCATATCATATATATCATATTATATTATACTATATTAATTATATATTATATCATATCATATCATATCATATCATATCATATATTATATTATATTATATTATATTATATTATATTATATTATATTATACTATATTTATTAGGTGTGTGCAGGTCAGAGGGCAACTCTCCTTCCACCATGTGGGGCCTGGGGAATAAGACTTGGATCCCCAGCCTTGGTGGCAAGCCCCCTTACCCGCCGAGCTGTCTTGCCAGCTGCCACCACATCTTGTATTTTCCATTTTCAGTCAGGTTTCACCTCGTTCTCCAGACTGGCTTTATTCTCATGCTGCAACCTAGACAGACCTTGAACCTGAGCTCCTCCTGGCTCAGCCTTCATAGTAGCTAGGTAGGATTACATGCCTGAGCCACCAGACCTGGCTCAGGGACATGCTCTTCGAGAAACTGAGGCAAAAGAACCTGATTGAGGGGGAGGACAGTGAGAGCAGAGGACAGAAGAGCTGAGAAGCCTCTTCCCAAAGGGAGGATTCTTGAACAGGAGTCCAGAGGATGAGCTGACACTGGCTGGGGCTGGAGACTAAGTGTGGGTGGATGGCTTCCAGCCAAGGAACGTGCATGCTAAACACTGGAAGTCCTGTGTCCAGGAGGGATGGACAGAAGATCACTGCATCAGGGAAAGAACAGCCAATCCATCTGAACTAGATGAAGGAAAGGAGGCCCGTGTAGGACCCCAAGAGCCGTCTGAAGCACACCATATGCTTGTAGTGGAGTCACCCTGGATTGTAGGGGGTGTTGTCTGTGCCTTACCCTGAAGCACTGCCCCTAGTGAGGCAGCAGGTAACTGCTAGGTACATGCCCCACCCCCTGCGCCCAGACGGGAACCCCTTAAGGCCTGGGATGACATATGTGCTCCTGGGCTCTCTGTCTCAGCTACCTCGTGGGCTTGAATGCTGGTGCTGTGGATCAAGGCAGAGCTCTCCTGAGAACCGAGGTGGACCGTGCCCTACCCCTCCAGGATTCCTTGACCAACTCCTTTATTCTTGTTGTGAGTTAAACTCCGAATAAATTCCTTTGACCATCAAATAGATTCCGTGGAATTATCTCATTACTGGATTCCGTGGAACTTGACTAAAATAGCAGTCAAAGTGGCTGTGGGATGCTGATTTGGAAACTGCTCGACTAGGTAAAGCAGGTGTAAGGAAAAAGATGGGGAAAAACCAAGGGTTCCAGAAATATTGAACACACACACACACACTTTTTCTTTTAAGTTCGGCACACACCTGTAATCCCATTGCTCAGGAACCAGAGGCAGGGGAATCTCTCAAGAATACTAGGTCAGCCCAGGTGACATAGTGAGAGCCTGCCACAACCAACCACCTGTAATGGTGGGGCGATGGCTGTGAAAGCACGAAGACCAGAGTTTGTTTCCTAGAACCCAGGAGACAGAAAAAAGCCTGCACGGTGGCATGCGCTTGTAATCCCACCACTGGGTTGGTGGAGGCAGGAGGATTCCTGGGGCTCGTTGGCCAGTCTAGCCTTAGAGGGGGGACCCTGTCTCATAGGAGGTGGATGTCATTTCTGAGGGTGACACCTGAGGTCTTCCTGTCTCCATAGGCATGTGCACACACATACACCTGTACATACATAATGTCCCTGCACTTATATGTGTGAAACTTCTGTGTTACCATAGGACACTGAATCTCATTTCTGGCCATATCTAAAAGAACTGAAAGCAAGGTGTGTGTGTGGTGGTGGTGGTGGTGGTGGTGGGTAATTACATACAGTAAAGCTGTGTTCGTGACAGCTTTACTCACAATAGCTAGAACGTGGAATGAAGTCAAGAATTTAAGCCAGCCTGGTCTACAGAGCCAGAACAACCAGGACTGTACAGAGAAACCCTGTCTTGAAAAACGGAAGGAAGGAAGGAAGGAAGGAAGGAAGGAAGGAAGGAAGGAAGGAAGGAAGGAAGGAAGAAAAAGAAAAATAATTCATACATACACACACACACACACACACACTGCACATACATCTAAGGGAATATTAGTTAGCCTGAAAAAGGAAGGGAAAAATGTGATGCCTGCTGCAGTGTGGACGAATCTTGATGACACAATGCTGAGTGAAATAAGCCAGACCTGAAAAAACACAGGGTCTTATGTAGCCCTGGAACTCACCATGTAGCTGAGGATGACCTTAAACTTCTGGTCCTCCTGCCTCTACCTCTGAGTGCTAAGACGGCAGGTATGTGCACCACCCCCAGTTTGTGCTGTGCTGGGGATCAAACCCAGGGCTTCATGCATGCTA